CGGGGTTCGGTTTTGGTTGGTGGGTTTTGGGGTTTTTGTTTGGTTTTTTTTTTTTTTAATGTTTAATGTTGTAATTCTGAGACACTGAGGCAAAAGGATAGAAGGGGAAACCCGCAGGCTCAGTCCCGGGTGTTTGTGCTGGGTTATCCCGTTCGGCTTTGCTTTTTACAGCGCTGAAGGGATTTGAGAGAGCTGCTGGTATGAATCGGGCTCCCGGAAGAATTTCCTCGGTTGTTCCTGTTGCTTGCTTGAGCTTTCCCTGTTTTTCTTTCTGGATTTTACCATACACGTTGCCACGATGTTCTGGAGAGGTTTATAGCGAGGAGAGGTGGTCTTAGGACAGTGAAACTTCTCACGAATTGTGTAAAACCAGGTTTTGTTACTGCCGCAAATCCGTCTGCACTTGGTTCGGTTTGTGAGCAGTCGTGTGTACGCACTGTACAGCCACCAAGGCACCTGCGGACACCGAGCTCAGAGTAAAGCATTTACCGTGCAGTAGGACTGGACTTAAAATATGCCACTTCCATCAAGTGGTCCCCAGACAGTTTGAACTCAGTAAAACTGGGTCACGTGAGGAGTGAGGAGAGGGGAAAATAAATAAGCCCTGCTGCTTGTTTCTCCTTAGAGCATGATAGATGATTTGCATAAGAGAAACTTTCAGAAACCTTTCTTGCTCTGCCCTTAAACTCGCTGCTGGTGTTTGAACACACAGTATTTTTGCTCTGCCATGGGCTGGAGTACTCCAGCTGTAGTCTGGCGATTGCAGCTTCCAGTCGCGATGCTGACACGCTGCCTCTGGGGTCAGCATCCCAGCCTCCCTTCTGATGCTGGCACAAACTGTTGCTGTGTGGTGCGTTTCCCTCGCAACACGAAGGATGCCCCAAGCCTGTTTGATACAGGAGAGAGCACAGACTTTGGCGTCGTTGCCAGCATTTCACAATCCCTCGCCGCTTGCGCCATCCCAGACTGGAATAGGCTGGTCCAGCGACCCAGTGTGCAAGTATTTGTCATCTTCTGAGGCGCAAGCACAGCAAATGCCTTTCAGGAGAGACGTGGGCTGAAAATGGATGGTTGGGATTAGATTATTATGCTGGTAAATACAGGCTGAAGTGAAGGTGCCTTAGAGTATTCAGTGGTTATTCAATGCTCAAGAGTAGAGGTAATAGATAAAGATTTTTACAAGAGTGGTCCTGGAAGGAGGATGGGAGGTATCGCAAAATAAAGCCCCCAGCTTGTGAAGCACTGTAGCTGCGCAGGAAAGAGGGCGTAGCGTGACTTTTGTACAAAAGCCCATTATGCCACCTGTGAAAAGGAGTAGCTCAGATGTGTCGGTGGTGAAAGAGTAACAGCTTTGATCTGACCTCCTCCATCCCTGTTTTTTCCCCTACTGGATTCTCCTGAGCTGAGCCAATTCTCCCCTTCTGTTGCTATTGCTAACTTAAAATCTCATTCTCTTCACTGGTTTGTGTCATCTCGCTTACACCGGCTAAATGAGCAGTAATAAGCTGTAGATAAACAACTCCCATGACTTCCGTTTAGTGTCAGAAGGTGTTAACAGCACCCGTTCACTTAGACAGCTTCCACACCTTGACAGTGTATCTAGATACAGGATGCTTTAAAGGCAGCCCTAGAGGCTGAGAATAACTTGCCGCCTGTCAGTTTGAGCAGCCCTATGCAGGATTGGGGTATTCACTTTGAGAGCTGGGGATCCTGGCAGTGGGATCGATCCTGGCAGTGGATCCTCCCTGACAGCTCAGGGCAGTAAGCGACTATTGACACTGTCTTACCGCTGTAGTGCCTTATAATAGCACATCCCGTGTTCCTTTTGAGGACTCCAAGTCCCAGAGGCCCTGCGAGGAATCTTTGGATCCGTTGGGTGCCCGCTGCTCTCTGTGGCTGCTTTCCAAACGAGAGATCTGGCTTTTGTGACCTTGCAAAGGAAACACTTGGGCCCGAGGGCGGTCATAAAGGAATTAAGTCCCTGCTAGTTGTGCCATAGAGGACTCTGTGATCTGCAAGGACAGCCGCTCTGGAAATCAGAGTGCCAGGGATCTGAGTTCTAAAGGCGTGGGTGGGCCTGTCGATCACTGGGCATGGATCTGCAGGGGTAATATCCAGCATAAGGGCGAAATCATCCTGTGCCGTGGCAAGCTGCTCTTCCTGCTTGTTGATTGCCACGTCGCTGACTGGTTTCTGCGACTCTGGAGGTGGGACACGTGCTGTATCCTGCCTGGAGCGCAGTGGAAAGACAAGGACTGTTCCCGATACAAAGGAGCTCGTTTTGCTCGGCTATTTCCAGGCATCTCACTTGGGCAGAGGTGTCCAACGTGTCACACACTTTGCCTGTAAACCAGCAGGAAATCAGCAAGACTGTTCTTACTCCAACTGCACGAGAGTGTCTTCCCTCAGATGGGGCTCAGGAGCGGCTTCTTTATTTGTGACATAATTTGCATATTATTCATATTTCAAATTTTCCCATGTCATAATTATAAGCTATTCTAGACAAAAACTTTGGAGAGGAGATTAAAAAGCTCTCCAAGCCTGAAACAAATTTTCCTAAATCTCATGCTTAGAAAAAGCAGAAAGGAGCAGGCTGTGCTTGTCATGTGCTGCGAAAGCTAACCCCACCTTTGCTCCCCCTTCTGTTTCTATCCTACCCCCTATGCAGGCTTAGTTTAATGCCGTGTTTCTGAGACACGGTTCACCTTCTGTGGCATTCCAGACGACGGCTTTATGTGTGCCTCCAGGCTGGGTAACACAGACATCGCTCCCCCCATGGGACAGCCTGTATTTGGGACAGCTGCTGGGGTTTCTGCTGGTGGTCGTAAATGAGGTCCCACGCTCCTAGAAACGGTGTGCTGTGGGAGGCAGGAACCAAAGTGCCGTTGCACAGGGCCAGGAGTGTTACTGGTGCTCCCATGCCCCCCCAGTGTGTCGGTCAGCGACCCCTGCTCTGATAAACTCCACATCTGGGCAGGGTTGGGGAGAAGCCGTCAGTTCCTCAGCTACTTTTTCCTTAGTCCTATTTAAGAGGTGAAACAATGTGCCTTAACTGACTTGCGCAGAAACGTAAGTGAGGTCAAAGGATAACATCCTAGTGCTAGCAAACATTGCCTCCTTACTCTAAACCAAGTGGTTGGGGCCCCTGGAGCCATTCAGCCCACTTGCTTCCTTTGCTCTGAAAGGTGCCTAATTAGATCCTGCATGTTTTGGACTGTGCTGGCTGTTTACCTCTTTCTTTGGCAAGAGATGGTGCTCCAGATGCTGTGTATTCCATCTGGCTCCTGCTCACGGATGGGTAACAAGGCAGCTTTTGGGAGTTCAAATTTAAAACACTTCAGAAATGAAATAGTATTCACTGGCTTGAGGCTGGCCCTCTGAATTGGTAAAGTTGATAAAATTTGACAAGTCCATTCAGTGTCAAAAATAAAAGGAGAGCAGAAAGGTGTGAAGCAATAAAGAGAAGGGTCAATGCTCATCTTCTTTCTAGAAGTGTGGCAGCACTAGAAACATGTTCTGAACTGCAGATCCAACCCCCAGACAGGTTGCTGGGGATCAGGACGACCCCTTTACTGGCTCAGGGGCCTATTCTGCAAGCTGGATTTGTAAGCGATGCTTCTGGTTGGGCAGTTGCCCAGCCTTCCTTCCTCCCCACCCAGACAGATGCAGGCTGAGAAGCAGTAACAATG